AGAAAGGTATCACACATGTGATCACCCAAAGCCTCTACTTTTACCAATATCTGGTCTATTGGTGGTGATATTTTGCATATTTGTATTGCCACTTCATGCCATGGATTAGCAGTGCCCTCTTTACTACCGGAAGCAGAGTCATCAATATCTTTAAGACTAACAAGACTGGAGAAATAATTTAGAAAACTCATCCTTACAATTTTTTTTCTCTAGAATCAGTCTTGGTACCAAATGTCTTAGGCTGGGTTCTCTGGAGAAGCAAAACCAGTAAAACGTATAAGTATCTATATAGAGAGTTTTATATCAAGGAGATGGCTCATGTAGTTGTAGAGGCTGGAATGCCCCAAATCCGCGGGTCAGGCTGGAAGCTTCTTCTGATTCAGGTAACCACAGAGGTTGGCAAAGCCACGATGGGCAGATCAGATAGTAGGACTCTTGTTCACAAACTGTGAAGACCAACGGACCCCAAGATTGTCAGGAAAGATGGCAGGTAAGCTGCTAGCTCAAGTCCCAAGAACCAGAGGTCAGAGGAACAGGAGCCAGCTGTAGGATCAAGAGTGAGCAAAAGCCTGGGAGCCTTGCCAGACAGTCCACTTATATTCTATACAAGCCACATCCCCGAGGAAATTCCCTTTCAACAGATTTGGTACTCACAGTAGATCCCATCAGGGAGGTTGTCACGTTATATTAAATCTAATCATGGAAGTGATCACATCATCATACGACTTACAAACTACATCATAACTGCCAAATCACTGAAAATCATGGCTCACTGAAGTTGACAAACAACCCTAAAATCAGAAGGTTCTTCCTCCTTTTCGCTGACTGCCTACTTTACCAAGCATGATGTCCTTCTCCAGGGACTGGTCCTTCCTGATAACATGTCCAAAGTATGTGAGACAAACTCTCTCCATTCTTGCTTCCAAGGAGCATCCTGGTTGTACTTCTTGCAAGACAGACCTGTTCATTCTTCTGGCAGTCTATGATATTGTCAATATTCTTCACCAACATAATTCGAAGGCATCAATTTTTCTTTGGTCTTCCTTATTCATTGTACAGCTTTCACATTTATATGAGGCAGTTGAAAACATCATAGCTTGGGTAAGCAAACCTTAGTCCTTAAAGTGACATCTTTACTTTTTGACACTTTAAAGAGGTCTTTTGCAGCAGATTTGCCCAAGGCAACACGTTGTTTGTTTTATTGACTGCTGCTTCCATGGGTGTTGGTTGTGGAGCCAAGTAAAATGAAATCCTTGACAACTTCAATCTTTTCTCCATTTATCATGATGTTGCTTATTGGTTCAGCTGTGAAGATTTTTTTTCTTTCTATTGAGGTGTAATCCATACTGAGGGCTGTAGTGTATGATCTTCATCAGTGTCATGGATTGAATTATGTCACCCCAAAAATATGTGTATCAATTTGGCTGGGCCATGATTCCCAGTCTTGTGTGGTTGTCCTCCATGTTGTGATTGTAATTTTATGTTAAAGAGGATTAGGGTGGGATTGTAACACCCTTACTAATGTCATATCCCTGATCCAGTGTAAAGGGGGTTTTCCTGGGGTATTACCTGCACCACTTTTTATCTTACAAGAGATAAAATGAAAGGGAAACAAGCAGAGATTTGCCAGGAGCAGAGCACTTTCTTTGGTCCTGGGTCCCTGGATGGAGAAGCTCCTAGTCCAGAGGAAGATTGATGAGAAGGCTGACAGAAAGAGAAAGCCTTCCCCTGGAGCTGATGCCCTGAATTTGGACTTGTAGCCTACTAGACTGTGAGAGGATGAATTTCTCTTTGTTAAAGCCATCTACTTGTGGTATTTCTGTTATAGCAGCACTCAATGACTAAGACAATCAGTAAGTGCTTCAAGTCCTCTTCACTCAGCAAGCAAGGTTGTGTCATCTGCATACCGTAGGTTGTTAATGAATCTTTATCCAATCCTAATGCCACCTTTTTCTTCATATAGTCCAGCTTCTCAGATTATTTGCTCAGCATACAGATTGAATAATTATGTTGAAAGGATACTACCCTGACACACTCCTTTGCTGATGTTGAACCACACAGCATCCCCTTGTTCTGTTCAAACTACTGCCTCTAGGTCTATGTACAGGTTCCTCATGAGCACAATTTAAGTGTTCTGGAATTCCCATTCTTTGCCATGTTACCCATAAGTTGTTATGATCCACACAGTCGAATGCCTTTACATAGTCAATAAAACACAGGTAAACATCTTTCTAGTATTCTCTTCTTTCAGCTAAGATTCAGCTGACATCAACAATGATATCTCTCATTCTATACCCCCATTCTGCATCCAGCTTGAACTTCTGGCAGTTTCCTGTCAATCTGCTGCTACAACCACTTTTAGCAAAATTCTACTTGCATGTGATATTATTGACATTGTTCAATAATTTCCACATTCTGTTGGATTACCTTTCTTTGGAGTGGGCACAAATATGGATCCCTTCCAGTTGGTAGATGTCTTACGTTGGGTTCTCTAGAGAAGTGAAACCAGTAAAGCATATAAATATATATAGAGATTTATATCAAAGAAACAGCTCGCATGATTGTACAGGCTGGAACGTCCCAAGTCCATGGATCAGGATACAGGATTCTCCTGATTCACGTAGCCACAGGGGCTGGCAAACCCAAGATTGGCAGGTTGGAAAGCAGGGCTCTTGCTCACAGGCTGTGAATATTGATGAATCCCAAGATTGGCAGACAAGACCATAAGGCTTCTCCTGATTCACTTAGCTACAGGGGCTGGCAAAGCCAAGATCAGCAGGTCAGAGAGCAGGGCTCTGCTCACAGGCTGTGAACATCGATGATTCCCAAGATCAGCAGATAAGCTGATAGTTCAAGTCCCAAGAACCAAAGGTCAGATGAACAGGGGGCAGCCAGAGTGAGCAGAGTGAACAGGATCGAGAGTAAGCAGAAAGCCAGAATGTCTGCTTATATTCAGATGAAGGCCACACCCCCAGGGAAACTCCCTTTCAACTGATTGGCTACTCACAGCATATTCAATCATGGGAACGAGCACATAATAATACTGAGAATAATTGCCCAGCCAAGTGGACACACAACCTTAACCATCACAGTATGTCAGGTAGCTATCTTCCAAATTTTCTGGCATAGACGAGTGAGCACCAACAGTGCTGCATCTGTTTGTTGAAACATCTCAGTTGATATCTCATCAATTCCTGGAACCTTGTTTTTCCCCATTCTCTTCAATGAAGCTTTGACTTCTTCCTTTAGTACCATTGTTTCTTGATCATACACCACCCTTACTGACATGGTTAGTTTCCAAAGACTAAGTTCTTGTGTGAAACTTGGTATTATGCAAAAATGGAGGATGATCACATCAGATGACCGAATGGAGGATGATTACATCATTACATAACTGCAAAATTACATTATTAAAGAACTGCTAAATTATATCTTTACATAACTGCCAAATTATATCCTCACATAACTGCCAGAGCACATCATTATGTAACTGCCAATCCAGTAAGAATCAAGGCCCAGACAAGTTGATGAATATCCTTAGCCCTTACAGTCACCGTTACTCTTGCCTTACATGTTGGCGTTCATTACTTCCAGATGTTCATTGTTAATGCCCAAAATAGTCAGATAGTAGATTGTTTTAGTATTGTTGTAATTGTGAAATGTTGGCTAATGAGACAGTCAATAAGTGAGGAGTAGGGGTACTAGATTGTAGTTTCCAAATCTTTAAGGAAGCAGTGTGTGGTGTGATGTGGTGTGGTGTGGGTGTGTGTTTTCTTGGCAGAGAGAGATGTAGTAGTAAAATCCCTGAATGGAGTAGAATAAATTCTCCACTGAAGCTTCATTACTTTCCTCCAGGGAGTCCACAGAGTGTGTGCATGCGTGGCAGTAGGTTTGGAGGTATATCAGGCAAGGCTTTGGAATTTATTGTTGACCTTAATTCTGGGAGTACGCTATCTATCTTAGTTATCTAGTGCAGCTATAACAGAACTACTACCAGCTGATGTCTTTAACAAATAGAAATTTATTTTTTCACAGTCTAGTAGGCTAGAAGTCCAAATTCAGGGCATCAGCTCCAGGGGAAGGCTTTCTCTCTCTGTCAACCCTAGAAGAAGGTCCTTCTTATTAATATTCCACTGGACTAGGAGTTTCTCTATGCAGGAACCAAGGGTCCAAACAAGGTGCTGTGCTCCCAGTGCTGCTTTCTTGGTGGTATGAGATCCCCCCTCTCCACTTGCTTCCCTTTCCTTTTATCTCTTGTAAGATGAAAGTAGTGCAGGCCATAACCCAGGGAAACTCCCTTTACATTGGATCAGTGATGTTAACCAAGTAAGGGTGTTACATCCCACCCTAGTCCTCTTTGACATAATCTAATCTTGCTTCATTAACCACAGGCAGAGATTAGGATTTACAACACACAGGAAAATTATACCAATCACAAAATGGAGGACAACCACACAATACTGGCAATCATGACCCAACCAAATTGATACACATACTTTCTGGGGACACAATTCAGTCCATGACAGGATCTGTGTACTAGATGTTTCTCAAAGGCAAACCCTTCATTTCCATTACCTTTGCCACCTCAGATACTATCAGAATCTACAGTGCCTGATGCATGTAGGTGCTCTTTACTTGTAGAATGAAAGACTAAATAAGCTCCCAGCTTTAAAATTCAATAATTCTAAAAAGATCAAATAGATAAAAATAATTACTGAAAAGGAAATTTTACTTTTTCTTCATTAAGTTATCAGTAGTTCTTTCATCTGTGATAAGCAGGTGAATTTTCTAGAACATACTCTCAATTTCTTCTGAGACCATTTTTCTTCCTGTAATTGAAACCCCAAATTCTATGGAGTATATCTGTGCTATTATGGTAACAGGAAAAAGATATTACTAAAATTTGTGAGGAATGATCCCTGATTCCTGTGAGAAAATGTTTCCCTTTTGGTCCTGACAGTCTGAGTGTAATTAGTTTTATTGATGATTGTCATTCCTACCTTGGCAACATTGACGGCAGACCCATAACCAGTAGAAAACCCACAGCCGATGAGGCAGACTTTCTCCAGAGGTGAGGCTGGATCGATCTTGACCACTGAGATCTCATCCACCACCGAGTACTCAGAGAAGGTGCTGGTGCCAACGAAGTGGTGGATAGGCTTCCCCCTGCAGGTGAACCTGGTGGTGCCATCTTGCATAGTCCCCCGAGGCACAGTTTTTCTGCACAGTGCACCAGAGACAGAAGGCATGAGCCAGGAGCATAAGGGACTTGCAAACTCACTGAGTGTGTAAGGACAGTATCAGAAACCTACTTGTTTTTCAAGCAGATGTTGCCTTTAGGGTGTTTACAAACAGCACATGTTCCACACTGAGAAGAAAAGAGCAGTATGACTTTATCACCTAGAGGGGAATAAAACAAATTCTTAAATTTCTACCCAAGGAGGTGGGGCCAAGATGGCAGAGTAATCAGACGCTTCTGGTGGACCATCTTGTCTCAGTTGTGACGATAGTTGGGGCGGCGAAGACAGTAGCCAAGCACAACTCTTACAGAGAAGTGGGGCCAAGGAGGGTCACTCAGAGGAGTCGACCCCGGCTTCAGTCCCAGGAGTTTATTTACAGTCAATACAGCAAGCAGCGAAGCAAATAACAGAACAATGAGCTTTGGGTGAGTTACAATAAGTTTCGGGCAAGGGAGAATGGGTTTCAGGTAAACAAGTCAATTAGTAAAGGAACAGTAGGTTTTGGAAAAACAGGTCGTCATCACTGACAAGTCTCCAACATGTTGTGTACAGCATAGAGGCCTGAGGGGAACTGCAGTTGTCAAGAGTGTAGCCATGTTTAAATGGCATATATCCTCACATTTCCACCCTTTTGTTTAAGTAATGAAATAAGAATTAAGAGGGTTTTCACTGGTCCAACAAACGCCCGTTAGGATAAAGCAAAATTTTCTCTACGAGATATAAGCCAAGATTACCTCAGCTACTGTCTCCACACCTCAGGGCCTGGCATCTTAGTAAGTCCTTGTGAGCCCAGCTTCAGCTGGGTCACACTCTATAGAGGGTAGCACAGCAATGATTAGTACCTGGACTTAGTTGGGCTCCTAGATGGCAGCCATGTCAGGCTCTTTAAACTCACGGTGCTGGTTTTCCACCGGATACTATCTGGTTCTTCATCAGGTTACTAAATTAGAGCGAGGCTCTCATCAACCGCAGTGCCGGAGTGAGCGGACTCAATGTGCCTTTTAGGTATGTAAGACAATAGAGGACGATCTTATAAAGATATTATAATCCTTTGTACTAACCATACTCTGATTGTTGGACCAATGGGTTTCCTCCGACTCTCATTTTGTAAGCTAAACACTAACTTTTAACATTCACTAAGATTATTATTCTTAAAGGCTCAAAGATTTATAAAGGCTCAAAGATTCATTAACAATCAAACAAACAATGATTTACATAAATTCACTATCAATTGAAAAGGAATTATCTAAATTAGAAATCAATCTATACAGAAGCATCTAATCCAGAAGAAGCAGAAAACATAGAGGAAATTACACATAACAAATTTTCATTGGGAACTACTGATTAACAAATTACTGATTAACAAGATAATATAGGAAGACTGTTGAGAATTGATTGTCACGAGGGAAACCATAGCTAGAAACAGGTTTTCAGGTGTAAGTGGGGCACCTGTAGTTGAGAGGATATGTTCAGCTTTGGAGGAGAGGGCTTTCAGACCTCCCCATGTTACCGGTATTGCAGATCTCCGTTGTTGAGTGTCCATCCC